ATATATATATATATATATATATATATATATATATATATATATATATATATATATATATAAATATAATAAAAAGGTTAAAAAATAAGAAAAAGAGCGACGTCGCCTCGTTTATTCTCCCCGCGAAGCCTTGACGACATCACCAAGGCTTCTTCTCCCCACATGGATGAGGAGAAGTCGCCGACAACACCGAGACCTCATCGCCTCAAACGAGGAGGAGGCGACATATAATCTATGGCGTCTGGCGAGAGAGGGCAATGACGGATCGAGATCATCAAGGGAGAGTGATGCCGGATCTCCAGGTTCTCCCTTTTCTTCTCCCTCTTCTTCCTTCTCCCCCAATTAATACCGCCTGGTGGCAAGCGGCGACGGTTAAAATCGACCATCACCAACAAATTTCGGATGGTAATGGGGCAGAAACAACCCCATTCGATGGTACCGCCCGATACGGGCGGTATCATTAGAAATTAAAAACCTTGGTTCACAACTCTAAGAAATTATTGTCCCATGAGAAAAGGTTGTACCGTTTGATTCTTTTTGTGACCACCCTTATAGTTAGTGTTTTCCTATTCTCTTTCCTCTATTCTTCTCTTCTATTCTTTTGTACTTTCATTTGATGAAATAAAATGAGACTTTCTGCCTCTGCCTCAAAAAACAAAATTACCTTTGCCTCAAAAGGAAATCATCCAGTAAAGTACATATATCAACAATATAAATAACAATAACAACAATACCAAGCCATAATGTCCCAACCATTTGTTATAGACTACATAGATATTTTACCATCATGCCAGTGAAGAATATAAGCCTTCCAATAAATATTTACTATATTATATTTTCTTTAGCAAATAACAAGAAAATACCCATGTACATAGCAACTCACACATAAATAAGTTGACTTTGCCATCTAGATTTCTTCCTGCCTTTTCTTGTCTTTCAAATATATGAAAATTAATAATAAACATATTGCTAATGGTCTGTATCGTCAAGGTTCTGGATCCAACTTATCCCGCAACAAATTAAAACATCATTTATGAATCTTAACATAACACTGGTAAGCTAAAACTTTGTCTGTTGTATCATGAGTTAAACTTGCATATACAATTGTGTCAAAGGACAGAGGCGAACAAATTAAGATGAAAATATTTGGACATACGATCCGATCCTGAAAAAGAAAAGGTTGCCTTCGGCTATATTTTATTCTTAGCACTAAAAAATAGCACAAAGAGGAGTTAAAGTTTATTAAATGAAAAAACAGAGATACCATGACACTAGATAAATTGTGATAACAATAAATCTCAAAAGAGCAGACCAGATTTTACAAGGAAAAAAAATCAGAGAGAGACAGAAAAAGAGGAATAATACCTGGCGCTTGTTGCCCAGTTAAAGAATTTAATCACAAGAAAATATAGAAAATAGAGTTAACATAAATACATAGAACGGTTAGGGTAATGAGCCAAAAGGAATCAATTTTCATTAGATTGAACATCTAGAAAAGCCAACTTTTCTACACAACAGCCCTGTAATATATAAACATCCACAAACACAAACCATAGACATATAAGAACTCCAAAATAAGCAATAGTTATGCGAGAAGAATTTTCCTCACTAACAACTTCATAATCATGTTGATGGGAGCTCACTTAGTCGGTCAATCCCCATATGTAACGTGGTGAGCATCCAGTGTCAGAATTAATAGTTCACACTTCACACCCTTGCCAATATCAGTCATTAGTGTTGATCCAGATGGATCGTTGATGAACTTGCCTCATAACATTCACAAACCATCACTTGACGCATTAGCTGTACACTAACAAGGACTCTCCTCAACTTCCCTTTATCAACTATGCATTTATTTCTCCGCATTCCTCAACTCAAACACCAACTTAAGTATTGGAGGACCCTGCTGAGGTTAGACTTCCTAGCTCCAGGTTTGCATTCCGACCAACTCATTCTGAAGTGATGCCCACTCAATGAAAGAATGACGTTATGTCAGATAACACAAACCATGTCAAATAAATGATAAATGTGTAACACCACACATAAAGTTCCATCTAATGTTACACCAAAAAATTCACCATACCTGAATCCCGAAGGTTCACTTTAAATCTCATATATAGATATATCTCATATTCACCATATCTAAATACCAATGACTCATTTAAAAGGTGCCCATATGGTTATTAATAAGAAGCCAAAGTCAAGAAGTCATTTATTAAAAGTGAAAATTTTCAAAATGATGTTAGAATTGCATTATTTAACATTCCATAAAAATGACCAAAATATACTTGTATTTAATCCTATGGACCAACAGTTAGCACATAGCTGTTTGATTGTTTGTTTGATCAATTAATGTTATCATAGACCACTGGCATATCGATAATGAATGACCACCAATGATCAATGGGTCAATGGTTATTCAATTGACACCAAGCTCTCATATGACTAAAAGAGGGTCAACTGATGGCTAATTATCAATCACCTATGATTCTGCAATAGGTCGACGATCAAACTATTAACTGTTGGTAAACAATTAAATATTGAGCAAACATCAATCATCAGTAGATCAATGGCCATCATGTGGTGATCATGGATGCTTTTACATCTGACTAGTTCATGATTGTCGAGGGTTAACAATCAACTTACTGTAATTACCAAGCTAATGATGGGATAGGAGATTGTCATGCATGGTGGGTAAATAAAGAAATCGATTGAGATTAATGGTAGCTCAACAACTAAGTTTTTTGCTATAAAACATGGAAATTATATCAATATCATCCAAGCCAATCCAATTTTAACTGATTTCTCAATCGAATAGCTAGAAATAGATTTCAATTAGTATAAATCTATTGAATTTGATCAATGTTCGCTAGTGTTTTATAGGTTTAGTCAATTTGATAGGGACAAATGAAGAAAAAGAGGGGAGGTGCAGAATGAAGCAAAGGATAAGAGAGCAGTTGAGATGGAGGAGTTACGAAAGGAAATATATGACAATGCACAACATAGAAAAGAAGGCACCAGTAGTATTTCATTTGTTATTTATTGCAACCAGTGCATTGTCATTTACCACCACTGCATGGTGTTTCCACTGCTATATAAAAGAGATAGGAAAGGATATAGAGAGAGGAAAGGAGATGAACAAAGAGTAGGTTTTGAATTCTTAAGGAAATAAGAATATTATCATGGAAAAGAAAGATGTCAAACAATCTAGAACTTATCTCAAATTCCACAAGTGCTCTATTTCGACCATTTTCCTATATCTTTAAATTACTCTTATTTTAATGTTGATTATAGAAATATTAGTGAGACCAAGGAGTAAAATCTAGGTCACATATTGATATGGGTAATCAGATGGACCGAGACAGTACTGGAACCTATAGTGTAACAATATGGGTCAATACTGTTGAATTTTGAGTTAATAATGAATAAGAATATGATTTTACCATCAATGGCACACAATATATGCTGAAAAAATGATAAGTAAATTAACAAATGATGCATGTATTATAGACATCTAATCAAAAATTAAATTTCATACCTCACTAAATAGCCTACTACTACCACCAAGATTATTGATGTGATTTCAATGAGATGTAGTTCAAATCTTCAATTTACTCAGTTGTAGATGAATATTATAGTTTTAACGAACCTACTGACGAAATTGCTGACATGACTCGCTGGTGCTGATGTTTGGTGTGTATTGATGAAGTAAACTAGTAACAGTCAAGACCTTAGTGTCATCAATGTAATAGTTGGGATAGGTACAGTTGTGGCAAGTATGGCAAAATGATCAATTGTTATGATATTGTTGCTCAAGGGATTCATGTTGGTAGGAAGATTGCAACCAGAAAGAACTTTTATCTGACTCAATATCTTGTAAGCATTCTCTCGTCTCCATGAGGTAATCAATTATCTTCCTTTCTCCTTGTTTTTTCCAACCATAAGTAACATTGTCCCCCTGATTCTCGTATTCATCATGGATGGATGACATAGATGTCCATCTGTCAAGGTCCTCCCTCTAGGTTTCTTCTGCAGATTTAGGACTTCGGGCATCCAATTTTGCTCTACTAGCCAAATGCTGCTTTATCCTAATTATTTCTCCAATCCAATTAATGTACTCACAATGGATGCTCTTGTCAACGACAATGGTAGTCTGCACTTAATCAACATTTATTATTCTGATAAAATTTGTCTAAAAAACCAAAAACTTATTCAGTGCAAGACTATAAAAATTAGACTTGATTTGTAAAATGGTTGACACCTGATTAGATCTACGCAAATCTAGACAAGAACCACAGGTGTAGGCTAAATTCATGCAAATGTATGCCTACTCTATAAGGATCTAGGTTGGGCCCAAGGAAATTTAGACTGAATTCACTCGGATAAATACTAAATTTAAACAGAGCTAAGTAAGATGCATGTGTCTTTAGGCTGAATCTGCATGGATCCAAACTACATCAACCAAATCAAGGCTGAGTTGTACAAATGTTGCCTATATTGATGCAAATGGAGACCAGATTCATACCCTATCTAGCTTATATCTATGTGAATTTTGACTAAATCTATGGGGATCTAGACGGGATCTACATGAATCTTGGGAAAAAATCCAAGTAAATATTGGTCGGACTTGAATGGATCTTGGCTGATTCATGTAAATTTTAACTAGATCCCAGCAAATCCAACTTCAAAGGATGTACATCTATGTTAGATCTGCATCGATATGGTCTCATTTTGATGAGATATTAGGAGAGGGAAACACATAGATATAAAATTAAGTTGCTATCTGATTAAGAGAAAATAGTACAATAATAAAATTAAATAACAAAGCTTCGACTAACCGAAACTATGAAAAAATTTTGAATTTGAACTTCGGATGTAGCTTCATTAAAGAAAAAACCAAGTAAGGTTTCTCGAGTTTGATTCTCTATTTGCTAAATTTTAAAGTTAGAATTTAGAAAGAACTAACGACAGATTGGAATCCCTAACATGCCTGAAACAAGCAATAGGCCCAATTTGATATTATTTTTAAAATTTAGGCATTAAATATTCCCCTCTATCTCTTTGTCTGTTGGGCAGGAGACTGAGAAGGGCTTTTGCCTCGTGCTGCCACCCCCTGCTCATGCTGTTGACGCTCACTTGGTAGTTCTTCTCCTCCTAGCTTGCTCCTCCTCCTCCTCTTCTGCTTATTAGTCTTCTCTAGTTCTTCTCGTCCTCATCCTCCTCTTACTTTGACTCCTCTCCTCCTTCCCCCCTCCTCTTCTTCATCTCTTGTTCCTCTTCTTTTTACCCTCAACCTCCCCTCCCCTTCTTGATGGTGACTGGTATATCAGTGTACCATGTGTTGGTACGCTGATACATACCAAATCTGTATCAGTTTGGCCTCAGTGACCGAAATTTTGAACCATGCTCTTAATCAAGGTAAGAAACTAGAAGTTCAACTAAGTCTCCTCACCTACTCCTAGTGGTATACACTTTAAATAATCCATCTTCCTATTATATTCAAACTAGTTCCCCACCACTATTTTACAACCATTTTAAAGATTTTCTGGAAATCCTTTGTTTACACAAATCAATGTCCAAAGTTCATACATGACACAGATAGTAATAATGATATGAAGCAGCAAGAATATTTTGAATTGCATAATAGGTACATAAAAAATCAAATCTCATTATTTAATGAGAACTTAGATTTACATGAGATTTACACAAATCAATCCAAAAACAATGTGTATTAACATGAGTCAAAGGTGAGTTTCTAAGTATCTTTGGTTGCAAAAACATAGAATTTTCATGAGAACTCCAAACTTATAGCATTTATTATACTGGAAATTATTGATAAAAGAATTAACGGGAGAAACACATATCACCTTGCAGCTACACACAATAGACTCCAGAGTTAAATTTAGAATGCCAAGCAAAAGGAAGCTCCCACCAGCCCACTGCAAGTTGATAGATGAAGTGATCTTTCTCACCATCTGCTAATTGGAAATCCAATAGTCAGCATCCATTTAGACAAGCATGTTTAATCTAAGAGAATATAACCAGACTGTTATCCTAGTACATACACTTGCAAAGCGATCTACTGAACGAGATATTATACACTCCCTCAACATTCTGATGCAAAATCGTTGCACCAGCTCTTTTTCAAAATCTTTGTATTCTTCAACTAAGAAAAGTGAACACTTGTACAAGGTATTTACAAGCAAAACCTGGTACTTCTGAAGTGCTTCTGGATTTAAGAACCTGCGATGTATTGCTTTTTTCTTCTTTTGCTTGATCCACAATTTTGGAAAGAAAACTAAACAGTATGTAATAATCTGAAAGACATACCGAAGCCATGGCTGAACCTGATCAACCAGAGTCAAAATTCTGTCATAAGCAACTTCCTTCGTGATCTTACTCTTGTACGCACAGCCACTGAGGACGGTAATGACCTCGATAACCAGCATGGTGATTTCCGGATCATCAGCACCAACTTGTTCTGGATCAGGTAAGAAGCAACCGCCACCAGCAATCTTCATCTTGCGCGACTTGGGCATAGAAGCAGCCTCGACCAGTATTGCCCCGAGGCTCTCGAGGAGTGCCAAAGCCTCCTCTTCAGCCTCCGCGTACCTCCCACAGGCTTCCAAGCAGACCACAAGCCGGCCCCTCTGGAGGTGAACCGAGTACGGCTTACCAGCGAGGCAAGGGCCAATGCACGCCAAGCAATCAAGCAAAAGCCGGTACACCGCAAGAAGCTCCACGATGCGCCGGTCGTCCACGTCGACATTGGTCGATTTGGGGCTCTTGCGGAGGAGGGCGGGGAGGTGTTTCAGGGCGCGGCAAAGGAAGGGTAGAAATTGCTTCGCAAGGGGGCGGAGCGCCGCGGGATCTGGTTCCAGCTTCTTCTTCTTCTTCGGAGGGCCTCTCTTCTTGGGAGCGGCGGTGGCGGAGACGGAAGACGAAGTGGTGGTGGTGGCGCCCTTCTTGGTCGCGGGTGGGTTAACGTTGTGGGAATGAAGAGGAACGAAATCGCCGAACGGGAGGAGGAAGGAAGCGAACCGATCATAGAGGCCTCGGTAGTCGCAGCTCTGCAGGGCATCGAGAAGGAGAGCGGAGGCGTCGGGCTCCATTAGCGGTGCCCGATCGAAACCAGCGGGGGGAGGAGTGGTGACGAACGGAGCGGCCGGGTAGGAGGAATGGGGCAAGAGATGGGAATGGGCGGGAAATTTATGCGATTCGACGCAAGAAGATAATTTCCCTCGGCGTGACAACGGGCCGTCCACGTGTCAATTGACGGCCCAGAATCTTTGAGCCGTAAAAGGTGTAAATGAGCCCTAGCAACGTCAATAGATGGCCCAATGAGATTTGGGCCTAAAATTGCTGGAAGTCTGGAATCCATAATATCCGAATAATTAATTAACTCATAAGAAATGAATGAATTGTAAGAAATCACAAGAAGTAGGGCATCGACAAATTTCCTCTTCTCATCCTCGAATCATCCATCGAGTATTCAAATTTCCAAAATCAGTATCAAATTGATTTATAATTTAATAGCTTAAAATAAAACGATTTCATGACTTCCAACTAGCAATTCTTTTTTTATTATTTTTCTTTTTTGGGGGTGATAAAGTATTATAGTATTAGGACATACGCCTTAGACCGAATCCAAATATAACACGTATTTTATTTTTCAATAATCATTTTAATACTAATTAGTAGTTACTTTAATCCAACTTATAATATTCATACATGAATTATATCTTATATGTATCTCATGGACCTCCAAATCAACATGTTCACACTTTCTAATTTCTCGAAGATAGGAGAAAGAAAAAGTCTAGAAATAAGCTATGAAATTTTCTTTTAGGTTTAATTTGGAGAGTGAAGATAGTTTTTGGATCATCACACGACCTAATTACTAATCCAAAGGGGTACATATAAGGGCCCATCGATCCACCAAAATGTGAGGTATGGGATAATCAATTTACACAACCCTACTTCTGCATATGTAAATATTATTTCTATGAATTTTCATTATCACTGTATTTGAATCTACTATCATTAATGGAGTCGCCACTTGACATCTTGTTATTGTTTCTAAAATGTGTTCAGACTAAATTATGTTGCAGTTGTTTGATTTTGGAACATTATAGATTTGATTAGTGATGTCCCTAAAACACCTATATTTTTACTAGTGCGTGTGATTTGGAGTGAGTTACTTTGGGATTCTAACCACTCTCGCTTTAATGCACATTGGATTTCGTCGTTGGGCATCATAGATAGATTTGCTTAATGGTGTCGCTCACTTCCTCCCTAGGTTGTCACCTCCACGGGATCTTAAAACCTCTGCTGATAACGTACTTGGAATTCGTTTCACTTCCTCCCTTGGTTATCACCTGCACGAGATGTCGAAATCATGCATGACCACGGCGACGACGAAGCTTCCGGGCGGCAACTCACGTTGTGGTCATTGCACTCTCGCCAGAAGTGGCCGATGGATAATTAAGAGAGAGACAGAAGTGGATGGTGGCTGAACATCGGCTAATGATGTAATTATTAACTCATTAATTTTCTTTTTATTTGAAGATTTAGAACATCATTGTATAAATTTTACATGTATATTAGAGATAATTTTTTGACGGTGCACAAGTGTTCTTGTCCTGACTCCATTTCCTCGCCAAGAACACAGCAAGGCCACACCACATACGAGGGAAGAAGGATAAGACAAGGTAACCAGTGGTGGAGTTCATGGCACATGAAGACCGAAGACTCTCCTCCTCGAGATACGAACCCCAAATCTAAGCTAAACCCAGCGGAACCGGTGATCCAGATCCCCGGGGCCCCACCCATCAGACGACGACCGGCCGAGCCAGGAGAAGACGCACAGGGACATGGCCCCTCCGGTACCACCCCTTGTTCTGGGCGACACAGTGGGCACAGAAACAAACAACGGCGGGCGAGGAGGGAGAGGGGGCAACTCGGCCGATGGGTGACTGAAAAGGGAGCCATCGTCGTGTTGGCCCTTCGGCGCAGGGTTGGGGTCTGGCCCTTCGGCGGAGCGTTGGGGTCACCGAAGCGCTTGGAGAACGGTGAGCCGCTTCACAGTCTTTGACTCAGAAGCAGCTGCGTCTCCTTTTCCTCGTTGTTTAGTCTGCCTAATGGTGGAAAGCTCGTGTTAAAGAAACACCGCGACACACTTGACCGTGAACATGCATGCATGACTGCATATGCTGCCGAGGGCGATTAGAAATGCATGCTAGAAAAGATCCAGCTGTCTCGGTGTCCACTATTGGTTGCAATTTAATCTTGATGCTTTGGTTGCAGCTTTAATAGTAGGATCATTCTTAAGATCGGATGGTAAGATTAACCCCTTTGATTTAAAGGTACATTACACAGTATCTATTATGTGATTTGGTTGTCTCTTTATTTATCTGCTAGTGAAATCACGTATAGTTTACAAGAGGTAGTGGTCAAGTTGTATTTGTGGATATCACATCAAAGGATTAAATGCCGCAAATGGAGCAGTAAACAGCTCAGTTGCAGGGAACCAAACATGAGTAGAGTATTGTAAAAGAGTGGATTCAGAGAACCCATGGTAGGGAAGGTTCTCGCCAACCTTACAGCTTCAGAACTTTTGACCGAGAGAGGCCGGAGAGGGAGGCTTGTCAAAGCATCAAAGCTCAAATGACTCACGGTTGTCATGGGATTTATGAGCTCCTCCTCCATTAGCCATTCAAAGTGGGTGGTGGTTGGTATGGAATTTCATTAACAAAAGGCCATGGAAATGAACCTTTACGCTGCAGAGCAACCGGTCCAGAAGACATCCTCAAAAGTGAAAGATGCAAACATCCCCTAAATGATGCATGTCCAGCATAAAGCTGAAGCTAATCAATCATAAAGTGGTAAGTATACATTTGCAGATATTCTTTCATATGGGCCACAAAGAGACTCCCATCGTGCAAGGAAAAAATGTCTTGTCTGATTAAGTTAATGCAGCTAAGCTTATGAGAAAATGAATTTGCTTTTGACTGTTGGATTCTGCTGCACTTTTAGAGGGCCCGAAGTACGAAGGAAAATTGCATTACGTTCGACCTGTGGGCTTATCTCGATCTCCTCCCCTCACCAAGCTGACATTGATATTTTATCTGTAGGCTGCAATATCTCAATCTTCAACGCGCGATGCATGTCCCATCAAATCATCTTCACCACTTGCCATTTGTGACCTTGAGAAATCTCCGGCATCCAATCTAAATCCACAGTGGGAACAAGCCAAAGAACATAACAGCGCAGTGGAAATTTGAAGCCATTGGTGGAAATATCAAGATATTTATCGTTGTAGAAATTAAGTCAGCCACTTGTTTCAGAAAAAAAAAAAGAATTATAAGCAGCTGCAAATGTTCTACATATCACAGGAGATGATGATTTGGATGGTAAAAGTTTGAGTCAATTCAATATGTTTCTGGGTGAAATATGATATTTAATTATCCATCTGTATCACAGTTTAAACTGTGCTGATTTCTAAGTTCACAGTCAGAAGCAGAAAAAAAAATAGAAAAATCTTAGTTCATTATGTGTTTTTATATCTCACAACAATCATATAAGCAAGTCATGTAATATTGATTTTATCTTTAGATTCGATTACAACATCCATACAAAATAATATGCTCCCAAATTTCCCAAACACATGCATTTCTACTAAGTTGAAGTCTGTCCGCATATGCTTCTCTGGTGTCCCGCTTTTATGCTATTAAAAAAATTGAGAACAACAACTCCAAATGCAAAATATATAAAATAAATCTTACTCTTGTTATAAGGTAAAATATCTATGTTGTGTCCGGAAACATTTAAATAATTCTAATGTCGGAAAACCCATGGTTTATCCATTGTCGGTCAGTGCAGTAAGCTTAACTAAAACCAATGTGTTCAAGCAATAGAGCTGACGAAGTGGTGTCGATCTGAAGGTCAAAGACGAAAAAGATCAAAGGTTGAAAAGAGACGATTCTCCTCTTCGAGGCACAAATCAAATGAAATGTCAAAATATACGTCTACAATAGCTATGAAACGTAGGAAATCGGGTCACGTCAACATGAATTATTTTTTCTCTTGCACGTATAGTACATGACATGCATGAGTGGGTGCTTGTACGTAGTGTCTCCATGCCAATTTTTCCCAGCACGGAAACAGCGACGTTGTAGCCAAAGGAAAACTGGATCGTCTATGCATGAGAAAAGTCATGAAATAAATCCAGTAGCCAACCGGAGGTGGCTTTTCTATGGTTGGTGAAATCTCACATCGCAGTAATCCTCACGCAGGTAATGCAGAGGAGACGGAAATGGCCGCGACGGGGATCGTTGTTTGGACTATTGTGGAATCTACTGGCATCCCATGAGCTCGAATGATTGCGATATCTCTTCCTCTTCTACTTCTTCTTCTTTCCTACACCACAAATTTACGATGGGTGTGAGAAACGTCTCCTCTCCAAGCCCCGGCAGCGCCACCAGATTTTAACGATGGAGATGATGGTGGAACGAGGAACTCTGAAGCGCCACAAACATCTGTGACTTCTATCGGATCTTGACATCTCGATCAGAGCGTAAGCTTCATCAGAGACGCAAGCTCACTCCATTTAGTTTCAGCCTCGTACTAAATTTATTTGTAGGAGAAATAATATATTTCCATTCTCTCACAAATCGGATTTAGTTTTGGTTTCAATTATTCGTAGTTTATTTTCATTTCCCATCCATCGTCCTGACAAGTATAACGTTGTATACAGTGAGAAGTTGATACACTAGCAAAAACTGAACAAGATTCGAATACGCCAACCATACAGCTTCACACCACCATTACGCCAAGGATACTATACATAGGGCCCCGTGCTCTTCGGACCACCACAAGATCACTTTTTCGTTCTGTCTCTCAACCTTCTTCCCCACGACTCTATATATAGGCTATCTCCATGCTACTTCCAGGCTCACCCAACCAACAAGTTGGAATCTCGTCTAACCTCTCTTTCTTAGAGCTTTCCGAGTAGTTCGAGAAGACCATTCTTTCACCAGTCATGGCGGCGTCTGTCGATAACCGACAGTTCGGCCGCCTTGAGCCGGGCAATGCGCTGGTCAGCCCGGTGGTCGGTAAGACGTTCGGCACACACCACCGCTCCGACTCCCCTGTGCGCGGCTGCAGCTTCCCTCCCCTCGTGCCCCTCTGCCGCGACGATGACGAGGAGGACGAGGAGGAGGAGGCGATCGACTGGAAGAAGCTGTACGGCGGCAGCCACCTGGAGGTGGAGCCGTCGGTGCGCGACCGGAGGGACGAGGGAACCGCCGACGGCTGGATCGAGCGGAACCCGTCCCTGATCCGGCTCACCGGGAAGCACCCCTTCAACTGCGAGCCACCGCTGGCCCGGCTTATGCACCACGGGTTCATCACCCCGGTGCCACTCCACTACGTCCGCAACCACGGGGCCGTGCCCAAGGCCGACTGGCGCACCTGGACGGTGGAGATCACCGGCCTGGTGAAGCGCCCGGTGCGGTTCACCATGGATGATTTGGTCCGGGACTTCCCCCCGGTCGAGATCCCGGTCACCTTGGTGTGCGCCGGGAACCGTCGCAAGGAGCAGAACATGGTGCAGCAGAGCATCGGGTTCAACTGGGGCCCCGCGGCCATCTCCACCACGGTGTGGCGTGGCGCCCGGCTCCGGGACGTGCTCCGCCGCTGCGGCGTCATGGGCCGCAAGGACGGCGCCCTCTTCGTGTGCTTTGAGGGCGCGGAGGACCTCCCCGGTGGCGGCGGCTCCAAGTACGGTACGAGCCTCCGGCGCGAGGTGGCAATGGACCCGTCCAGGGACGTCATGCTCGCCTACATGCAGAACGGCGAGATGCTGACGCCGGACCATGGCTTCCCTGTCCGCGTCATCATCCCAGGCTTCATCGGCGGCCGCATGGTCAAGTGGCTCAAACGCATCATCGTCACTCCGCAGGAGTCCGACAGCCACTACCACTACAAAGACAACCGTGTTCTCCCGTCCCACGTCGACGCTGAGCTCGCCAACGCCGAAGGTATTGGATTTTCACTAGCTTTCAAACGACGCATTTGCTTCCGAATAAAGGGTTCGACAATGGGACTGATCAAAGACCGGTGTATACAGCTTGGTGGTACAAGCCGGAATACATCATCAACGAGTTGAACATCAACTCGGTGATCACGACGCCGGGTCATGATGAGATTCTTCCCATCAACGCGTTCACGACTCAGAGGCCGTACACCATGAGGGGCTACGCTTACTCCGGTGAGTTATGCGGACGGATCCAGATGGATTCCAGTTCTCGATTTTGTTTTAGATTTTTAATTGATTCATGTGTTCGATTCTTTGTCTCGTTTGTTTGCATCTCCTTTATGAGATGTGATGAGTATAGCTGGCAGTGGACGAGATGGTCCAAACCTGCCCAATAGTTGGGCGAGAAGTGAAACTTCATCTTAGGACCAATTGTTTCAGCGATTTGGATCTAAGTTGGCGTCCAAAGAGAGAATAATATATTGTAAAGGTGCAGAGGAATTGTATGAACACAGTGATGCGAACTCGTTTCCGTCAAACAGGTGGCGGAAGGAAGGTGACACGTGTCGAGGTGACACTCGACGGCGGCGAGACGTGGCTGGTGTGCGCCCTCGACCACTCGGAGAAGCCCAACAAGTACGGCAAGCACTGGTGCTGGTGTTTCTGGTCCCTGGAAGTGGAGGTCTTGGATCTGCTGAGCACCAAGGAAGTAGCTGTTCGAGCTTGGGATGAATCCCTCAACACCCAACCTGAGAAGCTCATTTGGAACGTCATGGTAAGTTACTGCATTACTTTGTGTTTGGAGAAAGATTCATCTGAGATCAAAAACAGGGGAACATTATGAGCTAAGAACTGGCGGTGATGCAGGGGATGATGAACAACTGCTGGTTCAAGGTGAAGGTGAACGTGTGCCGCCCCCACAAGGGCGAGATTGGCCTCATGTTCGAGCACCCGACGCAGCCCGGGAACCAGTCCGGGGGATGGATGGCGCGGCAGAAGCACCTCGAGACGTCGGAGGCCCCGACCCTGAAGAAGAGCACCTCCACCCCCTTCATGAACACCGCCACCAAGCAGTTTACCATGTCGGAGGTGCGCAAGCACGCGTCGCGCGAGTCCGCCTGGATCGTGGTCCACGGCCACGTCTACGACTGCACCGGCTTCATCAAGGACCATCCCGGCGGCGCCGACAGCATCCTCATCAACGCCGGCGGCGACTGCACCGAAGAGTTCGACGCCATCCACTCGGACAAGGCCAAGGCCCTCCTCGACACCTACCGCATCGGCGAGCTCATCCCTTCGGGCTACATCTCCGACACCTCCGTTCATGGTGCGTCCGACCTCTCCCACCTCTCCACCATCCGCGAGGTGTCACGGCCATCGGCTCTCGTGAACCCCCGTGAGAAGGTGCAGTGCAAGCTCGTGTCCAAAACGATCGTATCACACGACGTTCGCCTCTTCCGCTTCGCGCTCCCCTCGGCGGACCATGTGCTGGGCCTCCCCGTCGGGAAGCACATCTTCCTCTGCGCCACCATCGACGGCAAGCTGTGCATGCGCGCCTACACGCCAACGAGCCCCGTCGACGAGGTCGGCTTCTTGGAGCTCCTCATCAAGGTCTACTTCAAGGACGAGAATCCCAAGTTCCCCAACGGCGGCCTCATGTCCCAGCACCTAGAGTCCCTGCCCATCGGCTCCACCCTGGACATCAAGGGACCGCTCGGCCACATCGAGTACACCGGCCGCGGCAACTTCGTGGTCAACGGCAAGCCAAGGTTCGCGAGGCGGCTCGCGATGATCGCCGGCGGGACCGGCATCACGCCGATGTACCAAGTGATCCAGGCGGTGCTGCGGGACCCGGAGGACCGCACCGAGATGCACCTGGTGTACGCCAACAAGTCGGAGGACGACATGCTGCTGTGGGACGAGCTCGACGGCTGGGCGCGGGATCGCCCGGAGCAGTTCAAGGTGTGGTACGTGATCGACGAGGCAAAGCGGGGCGAGGAGTGGAGGTACAGCACGGGCTTCATCACGGAGAGCATCTTAAGAGAGCACATCCCGGTGGGCGGCTCCGACGACACGCTCGCACTCGCCTGCGGGCCGCCTCCGATGATCCGGTTCGCCGTGGTGCCCAACTTGGAGAAGATGAAGTATGACACGGCCAATTCACTGCTGCAATTCTAAACGCCACCACCGTTCGATCTTCCAATCTCTGCTACATGGACCGTGGAAGAACCGGACTACGCAATCGCAATGTACTACCATGTATATACGCATTATTCCTCCCTGCTCGCTGCCATCATTTGTTAGATTTTGTTGTCGGAATCACCGAAACGAGAGGCAGATGTTGCTGATTCCAAACGCTACCTAATCATCTATTGGAAATAAAGTTTTGCTAGATTTCGCCGGCACGTCTCCCTTGCTTTTATATGGGAATAATCACCTGCAGCAACAGCAGTTCCCTCTGCTTTGGAGACAGGTGCTGCTCCCACTGGTCCACCTTCCGTCCATTTTACTCCTTCCACTTGCAAGAGTTCATTTATGCTTCGGTAATATCTTTGGAAATGGGTTAACAGCTAAAATATTCGTGGGAACTTCGTACAAAGACTACCGCAAGGTTTGTCTCTCAAACATGCGTCGGATTCAAATTATGTGTCGAAGCTACTTCGGATTTATACAGTTTATTAGACGAAAGTGTTTGATGATGACCTAAGCTTTTGTCCTTTATTGGTATCTACTCTACTTGTACCATAATTTTGATTAGTTATTTTGGATTCGCAATAAGAAATCCAGCATCGAGATAGCTACTCATTACTTGAGCGTTTCGCCACTGTTGTTATTGACTCTTAATGTACGGTCCCGACTAAGCAAACTTGTCATCGAGGTTGATGCTCCTGTGAAACGGGAAGTACGCTTGGACTGGAACTCCGATCTCAGAAATGACATAACTAATGTACGTCAAGATGCTGACCAAGTGATAATCTTCATAAATATATGTTCTTTTTGCTTGACCGGCATATTCATAGATTAAAAAATCAGATAAAATAGCATGGCTCACGATTTCCACTTACTTCCTTTGGTTTACTAATCATTGGACCTTTAATCAATTCGATTCACTAATTGAACCGTCTTTTATTGGTATATTATCGTACTATCTTATATATATATATATATATATATATATATATATATATATATATATATATATATATATATATATATATATATATATATATATATATATATATATATA